CGGTATATATTTGCCCGATACTCCAAACACTGATGTTTCTTCTAATCTATCGTCAGTAAGTACTAAAATATAGAATAAATATAAATATATCAAATAAATATAATAATATTAACGAATAAATTAATATAAAATTGGATATAACAAATATTTCGGACATTCACCAAAGTGACTATGTGATTGTTGGCATTCACCGGTGAGAGTCAGAAATAAGGGTATTTAGAAAATATTTCGGACATACACCAAGCGACTACGTGAATGTTGACATTCACTGGTGAATGTCGGCATTCCCCAGATTTCGGTGTTTCACCGTAACATATATACTTTGTAACCTACTGGTGAATGTCGGCATTCCCCAGATTTCGGTGTTTCACCGTAACATATATACTTTGTAACCTACTGGTGAATGTCGGCATTCCCCAGATTTCGGTGTTTCACCGTAACATATATACTTACTTTGTAACCTATAGAACCACAATGTGTGCCCCCTAATAAGCGTGTAATTATTTCCTCCGGTGGGGTACACTTTTACCCGGTAATATGATACGTGGTCCAATTTGAATATCATGGGTCAATATTAAGGGGAGATATAGGGCCATTATGTAATACCTAATATTGACTGCGAATTTTCTCATTTTAACGTTATTGTATATATTGTTCCAGAGGATTCCACTCATAACAATAACAAAGGCATACTCAACTACGAGTACAGAAGCTCTCCAGATACTGGCTGGCGTAAAGCCTATTCATCTTAAAATCAAAGAAGAAATCACTGTCAAAAGAATAAAGTGGGGCTGGAGGTTATCTGACCTAGATCCATCCATTGTCTCAACTCTCACGTCTTCTCCTATGGGCATCCCTCCAGGCCGGATCCATCCCGCCAATTACATTGCGGTTTCCTGGGGGAGAACGAATCCCACAGAGACAGGTATTGAAATTTTTACAGATGGCTCTAGGAGGGGGGCTGCCAATGATGAAGACTTTAACACAAATGAGCAATACGGAACTGGTTTTGGGATTATTGTGAAGAAAAATGGAGACATTGTTAAGGCAACTTTCACCAGAGTCTCTGACAATTGTAGCGTTTTTATGGCCTAGCTGGTGGCCATTAACCATGCTCTTTATGACTTGCAGAGAGGGACTATCCACATGCTGCAATATACACTGACTCGCTCTCCTCATTGCAGGTCCTTGGCGCCCCAACTCCTAAACTTGCCATCATCGAAGACACGAAATCACTGTGGAGACAAAACATTAAATGCCATTGGGTAAAAGCGCATTACTTGATTAGAGGCAATGAGTAGGAGGATTAGGCAGCCAAACAGGCCATCAGCATCGGTAAGTTCAATATTGAGGTCCTGAGTACAACCGTCCAGATCAAAACCTTTTTAAAAGCCCATAATATGAAACAGTGGAAATTAGAGTGGCAGAGTTCTGACAGAAGCCGGCAGACGTCTAAATTTTTCAAGGACCCTTCAATAAAACGACTGCAGGCTGACTTTTATCTGAATCAATTCTTAACTGGACACGGGGTGTTTGGGGTACACCAAAACAGGCTATTTAGCAAAACTCCTAACTGTAATTATTGTCAAATTGAACAGACAATAGACCACCTCGTATTTGACTGCGCCCACTTTCAGACACTCCGTGGAGATCAATTTAAAGGTAAAAGCCAACATCAGTGTAACGCAGAGTTGGCCTGCGGGAATAAAATCAAAACAATCATCAAGACCACGCTCGAAGAGGTACTGGCAAATATAATCACCTAGCATCAGAACCTGCCTGCTCCAGACACTTAATCACTTATCTTGTCCACTTAGGTTTTACCAATTTCTCATTTTATTCGGGTGTCTCACTGCTTTTATCACGATTTATCACCTTTTAGCCTGATGAATTTTAATTGTCTACTCAGATTTTTACGTTGGGATTGTTTTAACTCGAGTTTTGTACTTTTTAAGCTGTTTTAACTTTAAATTTTAACCAATTTTCTTGTTCTTAGCATTAATTTATTGTTTGATTTGAATTGTTTTGACTTTGGACTTTTGACTTCTCTTATTCTAAAAAAATTCTCGAATTGACTTTAACTATTTTAGATTTTACAAGCCCTTTTGATTTTAACTTCTTCTGATTTTACAAGCCCGCTTGGCTTTTGATTTTACAGTTTTCTTGATTTTAATGTTCTCTTAGATTTATCTATCTTAACACCTTTTTTTCTCATTTTTAAAATCATCTTTTATACTTGGTTGCCTTATACTGGTATTTTATCCCCTTGCATGATATTACTTTTCTATGGTTTATTTACAATGGTTTCAATTTTGTAGTTGCCGCCAACCCAGTTTTAGCGGTTGTTTTTGTGATTTATTAGTGAATCATTGTGTAACTTATTTGCTTTTATCATTGCCTATTGTTGTAATTTGTTTGTATCAATGCCTATTATGTTGTGAAACTTAATCTTTCTTAAATTGTAAATTTAAAAAATTACGCCGTATGCCCTATTAAGGACAGGACAGTTATTTATTTAATCTTATATACATACACAGCAAACTATAGGGCCACATAGTGGACCCCCTAATAAACCTATAATCATTTTCTATAGTAGGGTACACAAGTATCTGGTTATATAATACGTGGTCTAATTTGAATATTATAGGTCAATATTTGAGGGAGATATAGAACTATATTTTTATACAGAATACTGACTTCGAATTTCCGCATTTTAACGCTACTCAACACACTATTATATATATACTTACTTTGTATATTATGGATTCACATTGTTTACCCCCTAATAAGCCTATAATTATTTTCTCTGCTAGGAAACACTAGTACCTGGTAATATAATATGTGGTGTAATAAGAATATTATGGGTCAACATTAAGGTGAGATATAGGGCCACGTAGTAATACATAATATTGACTGTGAATTTCTTCATTTTAACACAATTGTATATATACATTAATAGTAACCTATAGGATAACATTGTGTACCCCTTAATAAGCCTATAATTATTTCCTTTTATGGAGTACACTAGTACCCGGTAATGTAATACGTGGTCCGATTTGAAAATTATGGGATAATATTAAGAGGAGATATGGGGCCATGTTCTAATACCTAATATTGACTGCGAATTTTTTCATTTTAAGGCTATTGTATATATACATAAATTGTAACCTATAGGATAACATTGTGTACCCCTTAACAAACCTATAATTTTTTCCTCTGGTGATGTACACTAGTACCTGGTAATATAATACGAGGGCCAATTTGAATGTTATAGGTCAATATTAGAGGGAGTTATAGGACCATATTTTTATGCAGAATATTGATTTCGAATTTCCTCATTTTAACGCTCTTCAACGCACTATTATATATACACATACATTGCAACCTATAGGATTTTATTGTGTTCCCAATATTAAGATTGTAAATATTTCCTCTTGTGGGGTACACTAATACTTGGTAATATAACACGTGGTCTGATTTGAATATTATAGGCCAATATTAAGGGAGATATAGGACCATATTGTAATACAAAATATTGACTTCGAATTTTCTCATTTTAACGCTATTCAAAACATTATTATATATATGCATACATTGTAAACTGTAGTACCGCATTGAGAACCCCTTTATAAGCCTATAATTATTTCCTCTAGAGGGGAACACTAGTACTTGATAGTATAACATGTGGTCCAATTTGAATATTATAGTTCAATATTAAGGAGAGATATAGAACCTTATTGTAATACCTAATATTGACTACGAATTTCCTCATTTTAACGCTATTCAGCACACTATTATATAGTATATAGTACTTACATAGCAACCTATAGTACAACATTGTGCACCCCCTAATTAGCTTATAATTATTTCCTCTGTAGGGGTACACTAATACTTGGTAATATAACACGTGGTCTAATTTGAATATTATGGGTCCATATTAATGGGAGTTATAGGTTCCTTGTTGTAATACAGAATATTTACATAGA